TAACCTTAATTCAAATTATTATAATTTGTAAACAATTGAAATAATTCTAGTGGATTTTTATCCATTCTCTTTTATTCCATGTGATCTTTTATTGTGATTTCATTGTGAAGTGAATATGATCTTTCGGGTGTACTCGTTTGATTGGTTAAAATGCAGTTAAGTATAGAAAAAACACAAGATCGTTTTTCTGTAGGCTTTGGTTTCTAAAACGTCCTCTTTCGTTGACAAGAAGTCTGGCAGGCAAGTCCTCTTTATTTTGAATACTTTTTGTTCTTAAGTTTGGATTCTCCCTTATAGATTTTTCAATATATTTTGCTATCAATTCATATTATCATATTACTGTTAAGTTTTCACCCGATAAATCTTATCTTATCTATTCTTGAAATATAAATATTATATTTTAATTTTTTTTATCTAATTGTTGGCTTCTATTTTGTGTGAGTTACGTTTTTTTTTTTTGAGGTAAGTCAACTCAGATTTTTGGATTTCAAAAAGGTACTGCTGCTCTGGTTTTCAAAATCAATTTTTAGTGTGTGAATATTGGAGAGTCGGTGAAAAACCCAAATTTGTGTGTCCATCCCTATCAACTCTTTATTGAATCCAGGCAGAGGCCTGAATAGCCATTTTCTGTTTGACTCCCTCAATTATTATCTCGACTAAGGGGTGTAATTTTTAAAAAGAAATCTAGACAGGTCAGAAAATTGAGTAAAAAAGTTTTAATTAAAACATCTCAAGAATTTTGACATATTTTGGATTTGATTAATTTCAACTCCAGGTTTATCTTGTATCTATGGTAGCTACCTTAATTTGAAAAGAAAATTTTGTCTATTTAGGGGAGAATCCAAGCAGGAGCATTTTTAATTTTACTATCATCCAACCATTATTTTCAATTATTTAATTGTAATTTTTTTTATATTAAAATATTTTCAAATTTCATACCTGATTCTGTTGGAAGAAAGTGTCTGTACTGTATATTAAATTTCAATTTAAATTTTCTTTGCAAGATATTCACTTTTTGACAGAATTCAGGGATTTAATATTCCAAATATTCGTGAACCTGATACTGCCTTATTCTTTTCTGGGTACCTACTCGACATAAAGATTACTGTAGTGAAGTCACCCCAGCAATCTATTCTTTTCCTGAATACAGGAAACAACACGAAGAGCTCCAGTTCACGAAAGTAAAACTCCAACACCCATTGAAGAGCTTCGGATTGGAAAGGTATATGGTATCAGATTTACCGAAAAAACCAAATTATCAACACTAAAATTTTACAGTAACATTTACTGTTACTCTATGTTACATAGAGAACATCGTAAACGAAATGAAATTATTGTTTGTTGGATTTTGAGGGGTTTCATTTGCACATAAAGGGACTACACGTTATCTTAATATTTTTTTTTTTGAATTCCACGACCCTAGGTTATCTTGTCTTAACAAATTTCAAATTATTTATAACAAAGAAAGAATTGGTAAAGTTGTAGATGAAAATGTTATAGATATATTTAGAACATATACAATCAAATAGTTCATGATTGGTTTCGATTGAAAACCTGTAGCGAAACTTGGCAACAATGCAAAACCCATAATTTTTTTAAAAAATGATTTGCATATACGAAATTTTGCAGGATCCCAAAAACTTTGAAATTTAAAATACGCAACCCTCCCCAATTTGAACACACGCGTCTGTGTTCCCACAGAACGGCCTCGGGGCCGAAATAAGGGTCGCAATTTTCAGCGAAAGTTTTACACAGTTTCTCCCTCCAGACGCACCGCAAAATAATAAGTTTCCATGCCGATATATCATGCCAGTTTAAGGTCTCTCGGACTTGTATCTAGTCGCCATAAAATATACACACAGAAAAAAAAAAGAGTGGGAAATTCGATAAGTTTTGCATGGTTTGGTTCAAGATTAATGAACGGTGTCTTTCAAAGGCCCCCGAGCGCCACAATACCGAGCCCTTTCGACGATAAGAACGCTCTTTATGCTGAAAACTGATAAATAACTTGCTATTTTTAGCGGGAGGGTGTTGACGTTACTTTTTGGAGAAGGAAATTGAAAATTATTTAAAGCTGATTTTCTAAGAATTTGAATTTTCAATGCGATTTCCACAATAGAAGAGGTTTTGAAACACATTTCGTTACTTTTAAATTATTACATAAAATAATATCTGTTAATTTTATCCCAGTAGAGCAGTGTTCCTTTGAGGGTAAATTTTCAGCTCCGTCGGAGACTTATTAAAGTCTATAATTAAGAACCGGATAACTTTCCGCTGGAATTTCCCGGAAGAAATGTTTGTCTTTTTTTACTGAAATTATTTGCTTGCTTGAATCATAATTCCTAACGATTTTATACTTATTAGAAGGCATTTTCCTGGTAATTACTTTATTCAAAAATATAACTATTTTATATTATAAAGTGCTTATAATAGACGTAAAGAAGTCTATGTTGTTCCTCTGGCAGCAGCAAAAATTACAAATAGTATTGTGATTTAATTTCAATTCCGGTAGCCCATATACATATAAATTAGACTTGCTCCTTGAACAAACAGGAGCTTCTCCCTCGTTTACTTGCTGATTTAACAAATACACCAAGTAATTTTTGCCCACAAAGCAGTACATTAGCGCCACCCCCGAAAACAAATATTTGAAAAGCCCCCCCTTCCATAAACAAAACTAAACAATCCAATATACACCTGCCACGATAGCCGATATATAATTAAAAGAAACGAGGCAGAAGAAATAAAAACGGGGAGACAAAAACCGAAGAACGGGCAGCAAGGAAACGCCATCAAGCGGGGCACAAAACAAATGACTTCAATTAGATGACCATTCGTTCACCTTAATTTCTTCTGTTCCCGAGGGAACTATACGATATTATCGAGCGAGGTGGGTTGTTATGACAACCTGGGGATTCTTGTGTCTGTGATATATAGGTACGGTCAACGGGAAGAGATTAAGCTATTAACAAGCTTTTAGAGTTAGGCGGAAACGAAGTTTATCATTTCTTATTCGGCATTTTATTCTGCTTCATCAACTAATTTGATTTCATTGATTAGAGTTTTTTATACACTGGCATCGAGCATACCTAAATATAGAATAATACATTGCTTTACAATTTTGAATTCTAGCAAAAAAAGAAAATTTTCCTATGTCTATGCATTATGCCAATTAGTAGATACTCATCAGTACATGATCATCATTAATTCGTTCAGAATGGTCAAACATGTTGGACGCAATCCATCCTTGTAGATTCCTACTTCTCCTGTTAGTAACTTAGCTCTAGTTTAAAATGGAATTTCAAAGGAAACTGGCTTAATTAAGGTTGATTCGAACTTTCCGTATTGACAGGTACTTTAGTTAATCTGATTTTTTCATTACTACGATTTTCTAGGTCCTTGATGTCAATCTTTACTTCTTGAATTACTTCTTTGTAAGTTTATCCTCCTTGCTCGATGACAAGAGCATAACTATTCCTGTGTCTTGATAATTTCGGAATTATTTAGTTCCATATTGGTGTTTTTTCATGGTCGTTTCGGAATGGAAATTATGCATCTCGAGATACATTTGTTAACACAGTTGTTAGTTAATAGGAATATCATGAGTGTTGGGTCTGAAGAATCATTAGACATCATCATAGAAGAGAGAGAATTTGTTTTGTCTCAGATGAGTGAAGAAAAGCCCCAAGAGAGGATGGAATCACAGTTGAAATGATACAACTTCTACCAAATCCATCAAAATGCTCTTGATTAAACATTTCCATGATGGCCAAGTCATTCCAAAATATGACAAAATGTCCGACTAATGAGTAAGAACTGCAAGATATATTGACGGAAAGAAAGTGAGAACAGCCCATGTTGTTTATTTGGTGCACAAGTGGAAAAGACTACATAAAGATCATCATTGGTGTGGGTATGTTGACTCTTCAGATGAAAACACAGTAAATTAGTTATAGTTATAGTCCAATTGATAAATATTTTAGTGATTTCACTCACGCCAGAACTTTCCTATCTGTTCTTCGGTTGATATATTCAAGGTCGTCTATATACATATCGTTTTCAAAACTTTCATATTTTTGTTGTTTTTCTCTTTCAGATACTACTTGAATAAATTGAGTATCGGAGCAGTGAATAATGGAGATTTTTTTTTTCGCCAGTCTAGACTTCGGCAGTAATACAATACCATAGATCAGCCACCAGAAAACGTCATTACGTGGGGGGCCGGTAAAAGCCTATCGCAAAATCAACACTATTATCCAAATCTCCGAAATCCTCGACCGGGTCAAGCTGAGGAAAAACAGATTTGGAGACCGGCGGACAAAGCAAGACTAACTGCGTCAATCGAGATGAAAAATTAGAGCCCATTTTGATTTTATTTTGCTTTTTTTCTTTACTCAATATGTGTGTGCTTAGTCCTAAGAGGGCTCCATGAGATTTTATTGTGTTGAGAAACATTACTGATGGATTTACAGGAAAAAATCTTGTTATGGTCAAAATGTGAGACGCTTAGTTGTAATTTGATGATTTGTTCTAATTGGTGAAAAATAGTGTGTAGCTACTTTAGGAGTTTGATAAATGTTTGGAAATTAAGGAGCAATTGTCGCAGAATAAACGAAAGCGGGTCAGTCTAGACGAAAATTAGGTATTTTGTTTCAAGGGAGAAGTTGGAAATTGTGGTCCAAAGTAACTAAGTTGGGAATTTATTTTTGATTTTGAAATTTCAACATTGAAAATATTGCTGTTATCCTAGTATAGGAGCCCAAATCGCGAAAAAGTGCTTTCATTTGTCACATCATCAATCAAAATACAATTATGTACGACCGGGCCATAAAGTACCAGTCGCACCCTAATTTGCGGCCGCAATTTGATAATTTTCGGCCCGCCGGCAGCGAGATTTCAGATCCTAGTGCACTTGTGAACGTATTTGTATTGGCGGCCTGTGATTGGCTGCTTGATCTGTCATGTCAGCGCTTTCCTGAATTTTTATGAAGTTATGTCGTTTTGTTTTCATTTAATTTGTTTTCGGTTTTTGGCCTATCTTTGATAATTATTTCTTAATGAATAATCATCAAAATGGAAAATAATCAACTAATTAAATTTGATGTTGATATTGCAGAAACGTGCAAGGTTAAAGTAAGAGCTCCTATTGTAGTTTGTGTATTGTATTATTGCCATATTAAACATTTTAGTTATTGAATATACTACCTGACGTACCAACAGTCGTTACAAAATTAAGAAAATCCATGTAATATTGAAAATCAAAAATTCATAGCAGAACTGCGAACAAATTGTTCAGACAAACAGAGTGCTATAAATTGGAAAGAAAAATTTGAAGAACTTAGCTACACCAGCTACAACGTAGACAGTACCTTTAACGAAAATACCTTAAAAACTATTTTTAAAGTAAGTAATCTTACATCACATTTCTTTTATCTGGTTTTGTTTCAAGTTTACTTGCTCAACCTTAGTTTTTGAAATAAAGAAATGAGATTCTATAGTATTTAACAACTTACCTGTTAACATAAAAAACATGAATACTTACAGCTCTTTTTTGAGTTATCTGAAGCAATTTTTTTCTGCTTAAATAATATATAATATGTATTTTTTTTAAAATGTTATAAACTATGAATTGTTTAGGACAAATTCATCAAATATAGCATAGCACTGTATTATAGGTTTAATATTCTTGAGGCCAGTGCTTCTATGTACTGATTAGAGAATTATTGTTATGTAAGATATGCAATGCAAAAAAGAATACTGTAATAAAAACTTTCAAAAAAAAAAAAAAAAAAGATCCTATACTTTTCGAAACTTATGAAAGTAGCAAAATGAGTGTAGCATAAGAAGTCCCAGTGGTTTATACCTTAGATTGTTTATACTGTTCATAATATGAATTTATTGTCTTATTTTCTTAAAAGAATCTCCGTTGCATATTTTTTTGAAACATCCTTGTATTTCTTCAGAAAAAAAGTTTCATTTACCTATGTATTTTTTTTAAATTCTGTTGGATTTATTTTATGTTAATGACGTATATTTTGTATATTTTCAGTGCATCTTTCACTGTTTACATAATACCAGGCCACCTAAAAGAGTCAAAACACCTCACTATAAACATGTTGATTGTCCAGCAAAACTAACCATTAATGTCAAGAATCCAAAAATGAAAAAGTGAGTTATAACATTACAACACAACACTGAGTTACAACTGTTGCCAACTTGACAGCTAGTTCAGCGTTAGTAGTGAATGTTCAGTTTCGTAATATAATTGTTTTTTTTAGGAGTAAGGATATGTATTTGAAAGAATTTCCCTGTGTTATTTCCATTCGGTATACTCACAACCATTCCCTTTTTTGTGCTGATGTACTGCGCCATAAGAGACCTTCACAAGCAGCAGTTTAGAGAGTTATTTGGGAAAGGTCATTCCCCTTCTTCCGCATTGGAAATATATAAAATGGAGTTACAAGACCTGGATCCACAAAACTATTATAAAATTGTAGCTGATGGCTCAAAATGCCCAACACGTCGTTGGTGTTATGAATTATTTTATAATATTTTCAAAAAACAATATGGAGATCCTAGTGGCCCTGAAATGATCAAAACATTGTCCAAAGTGATTGGTGAATACAACGAACAATGTGGGGATAATTGTGCTGCAATGAAAAATGACGAAAATGATCTAGTCATTGCTATAAGTTCACCAATGATGAAAAATGTACATGAATATATAAAGTCGTCTGGTGAAATAATGTTTATAGATTCATCTGGCAATATGGATCGACATAATAGCAGAGTTTTTTTGATGTTATGTCCATCAGTCGTAGGGGCTCTCCCAGTAGGCTTAATGATGACATATAACGAGTCAGAAAATGCAATATCAAAAGGTTTAGAGCTTTACAAAACTCTAATAAATAACTGCGCATTCTTCAAAAATGATTTTCCAAAAGTAATTATCACAGATGATTCTACCGCAGAACGCCAAGCTCTTAAAAAGTCCTTTCCTTCTTCTATGTTATTACTTTGCAAATTCCATATTTTGCAAAGCACAATGAGGTATTTGTGGGATTCTAAGCATCATGTTGATAAACATGATCGTGTTCATATTTATAAATTATTTCACAATTTAGTGAATTGTACTAGAGAAGATGAATTTTTGAAAAGTTTTGAGAATTTATTGAAATGTGACAGTTGTAAGAAATACAAAATTGTTGTAAAGTATTTTGAAAATCTTAAGCAAAGATCGAAGGAGTGGGCGTTGTGTTACAGATCTAATATACTTACAAGGGGTAATCACACAAATAATTATGCAGAAGCAGGCTTTAGAATTTTGAAAGACAAGATTCTTCACCGCACTAAGGCATTTAGCATAGTACAAATGTTTAGTTTTTTAATTGAAAATTTGAACAGCTACTATGTCCGGAAAATTACTGATATAATTAATAATCGTAGTGAAAGTCTTGCTCGTAAATACTTGATAAAAAATGAAAAAATCGAAAGTTTCAATCATGAAGTCATCATCAGCAATTCTTTGTTTAAGGTCATATCAGGAGAAAACGAATATTTTGTAAATACAGACATTGAACTCTGCACATGTTACAAGGGAAATAGTGGAGCTCCCTGTAAGCATCAGTATCGAGTTGTTAAAACTTTTAATTTGACATCCCAGCAATTTATTCCTACTACTGATGTTAAAATGAAGTGTATTTTACACAAACTAATAAACAGTACTGCAGTGCCAAACAGCTGGTATGAAAATTTGAAGAGTAGTAATGTCCCACAAAATAATATTAGCATACTTGGTACGGAAAGTGAAGCTAACTATATTAATGATGTTAATGACAATTTAGTAACCAGTATTGCTGAAGTTGAGCAATCTGCTGATGAAAATCAACGTTTTTCCCAAGAAGATATAGAGGCTGAGAGCAGTAAATTGTTAAAAAATATCCAAAATCTGAATTCCAAATTGTTAAGTGATCCCAGTGGCGGATACAGGGGGGGGCGCTGGGGGCGCGCGCCCCCCCCCCCCTGAGAGCCTTCAAAAACTACTAAATTTTATAAAAAAAAATCATAGATATAAAAAATTTATGAAAGAATTTTCCAATAAAAGTTCTTGGAAAAATTTTCCAAGCTACACTATTGTTCAATTTATCATTTTGTTTTTATCAGATAAATGTGCTATCTTTTTTCGGTTTTTTGATATGTGCAGGGTTATGATATGTTGAACTGATTTGTCGCTAGAGAATCCAGTGACTTTCTCAGTTTTTTTCTACCTATTTGTTCCCGAATTCGGGATATTAACTAGAGTCCGATTGTTTTGATGGGACACCGGACACCCTATATGTTAATAACTGATTGGATAGCTCTGCTTTTGCTGCTTAAAATGATATCAAGTTCGATAGGTTCATCTTTTTTTTTTCCAGTTTTTCAGAAAAAAAAATTAGATCTGTTTTTGTCATAAGAAACAATGTGTTAAAAGATAACTTTATATCTATAATCAAATTGGGATAGTTCTCCTTTTAACACATTGTTTCTTTTGACTGAAACATATATAACTTTTTTTCTAGAAAACAGTTTAGAGATAGACCTAGAGTCTCCATTCGTCCGGATTTACCCGGACATATTTGGGTTTTTAGGGTGTCCGAGGAAGTCCGGCCGAAAATGAAAACAATGTCCGGAAACTCGGAGATCGAGAAAACAACCTAAATAAAATATTTCAATCGTTACGATACTTCATCACTACCAATACAGACAAAAGAATTTTCGAACGTACCCCATTTCTATACTCTGGTGTCACTCCAACATCAAATTTTCAATCGTCGAACTATGGAATCGTCCTTTTTTGCTATAATTACGACGAGTGAGATGGAAATATACAGTCCAATGAACTATAAACTACACGTACCTGGAATGGCCCGCCGATCTATACATTTGCGGCAGATTGAGATGAAGAATGTGGGGGATACCTATCTCTATTTATCTTATTGGCGAATTATGGAAACCTTTCCTTGTCTAAAAAATATTATATTTCAGGTTAGGGATATACCAAACCTAACAGCATCAATGAACTGGAGAGAGTAAGGGATACCCCACTATGTAGCTTTTTTGGACGCACTAAGCAAGATGATAAATGCCATACAAATGCCATAACCGATAACAGTCAGTGCCATTCCAGATACGTATAGTTTATAGTTCATTGATACAGTCTAAGTATTGACTGATGACTGATGACCAGTGTTACCAATGTGTGAGCATTTGCTCACATTTGTGAGCATTTTATAGATCTGGGGTAAAAATGGGAGCATTGGCAAGATGTGAGCATTTTGTGGGCATTTTTGGTATTTATTAACCGAAAAAAATTAAATTAAATTCGTCGAGGCACGAGTCCACGAGAGCCATGTCATAACTCGTGGCATAGCAAAGACCAAGAGCCCAACTTTTTAGAAAAGAATTATGTATTTCACGTCACGTGTCAAGATTGTCAAGAGGCCATTTTAGAAACGCTGATTCCGTCCAAGGATGATACACACTCACTGCTACCTGCTACTACAGGATGGCCTATTCCACACCTTTGTTTAAACAGCTGACGACTTAGTTATGACGTCGGAAATGGTATCACACCAATATGGCGGCGACAATGAACTATAACCAAAAACTGGAATGCGAACATATTAACGAACGTGAAGCCTAGTGTCGCTGCTGCGGAGGGGATAACTATTTTTGTCGCACTCATTATGTTAAATGGCGGAAATTGCTTCCAACACGTATTCTTCCAATTGATGAAACCTGTGAAGGTAAATATGACAAAACTTTCCAAAACGTCATATCTCAGCGAGCAACAGAAAAAAACAACATTCTCCTTTTAGTCCAAGAGCCCAGAGCCGCCAGACACAACTTATTTTCTAAAGGACAGAATATGTGGGATTGTGTAGCACTTATATGTACTATGAACGTATGTATACCCGCTAAGTTGGGTAGACGGCCAATTTACCGACACCAGGTGCGAAAGCTTAAAAAGTACTTTAACTTTTTTTCTAACGCTTGATTTTTATACATGTTATTGGGGAGACTATTTCATAACTACGTGTGCTCAGCCAGACCAATCGCACCGGTCAAACATCCCCCCAGACGCAATAATAGTTTTTCCGTGAGTGTGAGCGCGAGGGTACTATGCATGCGTTTGAGAGTGAGCGAGATATCTATTTCCCCCTCCTAAACTTACAGTCTACTCCAGGCTAGAGTAGAAATGGGATTTACAAGTAACAGTCAACTGGCCGTCTACCCAACTTAGCGAGTATACATACGTTGATAGTACCTATAAGTGCTACTCAATCCCACATATTCTGTCCTTTAGAAAATAAGTTGTGTGTGGCGGCTCCGGGCTCTTGGACTATTTGTGGCATCTGTCTTTCATCGCTACATTTTTTTGGCAGATATGGCAATAATGTGTGCGTATTCCAGTTTTTGGCTATAGTTCATTGGGCGACGATTACCAAAAACGAGGCTGATAAGCACTCCTTATGCCCCATTCACACTTTCGCGAAATTCGCTTTTTTTGACATTGCATCGACAAATTGACGTTTGATACACGCATAAAACATCAAATTGACCTTTTATTTGGACGCCATATTGCGGTGCGCGAACATAGTGGCCAAAAGAAGAAAACAAAAACTACTAGCGAGCTGTCAACATTGAAAACAAAAGTAACTAAATGATTGATCCTCGCTATCCTGTTTGTTTGTTTGTTTACTTTCTCTCTCTGATTGATGAAAGTAAACTATTATTTCTATTCTGCCCAATACAAGCTAAAAATGATGGCTTTTCTTTTTAAAAACATTCGTAATAGGCGGCAAATTTAAATTTTAAATGTAATTTATTCAGTAACTTTTGTTTTTAATGTTGACAGTACCCTGGTAATTTTTTTTTCTAATTTAGGCAACTATGTGACTTCACCGATGAATTAGCTATCTTCGTTTAGTGAATGGAAAATGACAATGACCGACATAAAATGGTGGATCCATCGGTAAAATTTGATGAGAATAAAAACGCAGGGAATGTGAAAAAAGAGCGAATTTCGCGCAAGTCAGGATGAGGCATTAGAGTGTGCATTGTGTATTCTCCTTGGATTGCAACAGCCATTCACCAGCTGTTTGTTATCTATCTTTTTCCAATGAACACAATTGAAAAAATACAATGTACATCAGCCTGGTGATCCCGTAGTCAAATGTCGAATGTCATACTTAACACTGGGAAAACTCGAAAACTATTGACATTTTGACATTGACGTTATTTTTAGTACATGTGAGCATAATGTGAGCGTTTTCACTACAAATGAGGAGCATTTTGATAACTTCTCGTTGTCAACACTGCTGATGACTAAAACAGGTACTAATCGGTATCGAGAGAGGATTCCCAAGTCCTAGTCCAGGAGGTGGCGCCAAAAACATGCAAGAGTTTTCGCAAGGCGGATATTTTCAAAATAGGTCGTACTTTAGTGCTAGAATGCTAGTGTACAGTCAGCACTCACAGT